CTATCTATCTATCTATCTATCTATCTATCTACTATCTGTCTATCTATCTATCTATCTATCTATCTATCTATCTATCTACCTACCTACCTACCTATTTATCTACTTTAATTGTAATCCTCTCATTATCCTCTCTTATCCCACTCCTCCTCTTACCAAACCCTTGTTCTTATAAAGTCCCCCACCCACTTTCATGCCTGCCCCCCTCCCCAGTCTCACTGTTTTGAGTTGTTTGCATGAGCATGGGTGGGTGTTATTTACTCAAACAAGGACAGCTTTCTAAGAACTACACCACCAAGAAATAGAATTGCTCTTCCCCTAGCAATCATTAGCTGCTAGTACTCCCTCAGAGAGAGCTGGGGCTTTATGAGCCCTCCCCGTCCATGGTTTAATATTGATGCCAAGTTTTGTGCAGTTCTTCAGCGAGTAGCCACTGTTGTTGTGAGTTCTTTGGGTTACCAGCCTTGTTACACCCAGAAAACAGTATTATGTATAGTGTTCCTTTCCACTCTGGTCTTACATTCTCCTGTCTTCTGCCTTGTTTCCTGGGCTTTGGAAGGGCTGATGTAGAGTACCATTTAGGGCTTAATACTTATCAGTTATTTTCAGCACGTTGTCTGGGAAGGTATGAGTCTGCATTATTTGTCATCTGTTGCAAACAGAAACTTCTTTGACCATGGCTGAGAGCAGCTTCATTCTATGAGTATAAACAAATATTTAGAAGTCGGTTTGATGCCCTATCCACCAGTAAGAGATTCCCTCCGAGGGCCTATGACTGCCACAGTCATGGGTGTGGTGGTATTGTGTTCCCCAAAATATTGTGCACCCTAATAAACTTATCTGGGGTCAGAGACAGAACAGCCACTAGATACAAAGGCTAGAAAATGGTGGCACTCACACCTTTAATCCTAGCATTCCAGAGACAGAAATCCCTCTGGATCTCTGTGAGTTCAAGGCCACATTGGAAACGGTCAGGCATGGTGACTCATGCCTTTAATCCCAGAAAGTGAGCCTTTAATCCCAGGGAGTGAGGCAGAAAGCAGAAAGATATATAAGGCGTGAGGACCAGAAACTAGAAGCATTTGGCCTAGTTAAGCATTTGGCTGGTTAAGCTTTCAGGCTTCTAGCAGCAGTTCAGCTGAGACCCATTCTGGATGAGGATTCAGAGGCCCCCAGTCTGAGGAAACAAGATCAGCTGAGGATCCGGCAAGGTGAGGTAGCTGTGGCTTGTTCTGTCTCTCTGACCATCCAGCATTTCACCCCAATAACTGGCCCTGGGTTTGATTTTATTAATAAGAACTGTTAAGATTCACGCTACACATGGACTTTTGATCAGGTTTACAGTATCAGAAATGAGTTCTTCCTATGGAGTGGGCATCAAATCAAATCAGTTATTCCATTATTACACCAGTAGACATATCTTGTCTGGAAGATTGCCATTGCAGCATGCAGACTTCATAGCTAGGTAAAGAGCATTTTTTATCCTACAACCAAAGTGTGTGGTGTTTTCAGCAGTAGGGTCTTGTCATGTAGCTATGATGGGCAACCAAGAGCAATGACAATAGCCTTTGTTATTTTTTGAGGGAGAGGGAGTGCTTTTGAGTCTTGCTGATCCCAAGGAGTTAGTTCACACTTGGCATTGCTGTTTTCATTAACTTGACTTCTGGGAGTAGCATTATTCACCTGTGCAGGATATGTTTCTTCAAGTTTTTTTATTTTTTAAAATATTATTGTTTTTAAGTTTTGATCATTGGGGTTCCATAGACTTTTTGAACACTGAAGGCCATCACCATCACTCTTGGTTATCCTCCAAAGCTTGATGGTCAGACCCCGTTCCTGAAGACACCACATACTTGAATCATAGAATTTAGAGAAATCAAGCTAGTACCAACCTGGGAGCATCATCCCAACTCAGTAGCTTTCACAGTAGTAGAGGTACTATGCATGCTATCAGAGGAGAAAGGTAATCATCAGTTTCATCCAGCTGTGAACCCTCTGCCAGCTACAGCAATGAGTGGCTTGATAAGAGATGCCCATTGGTACAATAATAGCATGTGTGTAACTATTATTATTATTATTATTGGAGTAACTAACCACTTCTGAGTGGATTTAAAGCCTGCTCCACAAGACAGAACTCATACCCAGCACCATTATTTGCACCAAGAACCTGCAACTGGATAGGTCATAGGCCCCAGAGGAGAACTTGCATTATTCTGCCCAATGGACATAGTAAAAACTGACTTTTTATGACTTCTAATGATTAATGCGTCTTTCAACCTTCCTCGGAGAAAATAATTGACTGGTAAATGGCAGATGACTACCAGGCAATGGTGTCTTCAGGAAGCAACAGGGCAGTCACATGTGTTATTTTACAGTAGCTGTGATAGCAAGCACAGGCAAGATCAAGCCAGACAAAACCCCAGTGTGGATGGGTGAGGCAGTCAGGGAGTCCCTTTGCTAGCTGTAGACCTAGTAGCAACTGAGAGTTGCTGGGAGGAGGAAAGTCAGTTTTCTTTGAGGGTGTGTTTCCTGAGAGACTACCCATGCTCCAGTTAACTCCTCTATACCCATGCAACGTACTGTCAACGCTAAGTGGAGTTAGTGGGCTTAAAAAAAGGCACAGATAAAATTGGAAGGGAATCTTGGGAGGATGATTGGGAGGATTTGGAAGGGAGAAAATGGGGTGAACTTGATCAAAACATATATGTTTGTACAAAATTCTTTAATAACTAAGAAAAATTATATTTTAAATTAGCTTACAAAATGGTAAGTTTCCATAGCGTTCTCCCTTATATGTCCTTGGTTTGGCTTAACCCTTCTCCTCGATCTCTATTCTCCCTGATCCCCCACCTCCATCTCTTCTTAAACCTTAAATTCCCAGTACCATGCCCTTCTACTTCTGTATCATACATGTTTTACTGTCCTCTCTCCTTGAAGACCTCCTCACCCCTTTTCTAACAGCTCCTTTCCAACTTCCTGGCCTTTACAGCATCACCTGTTACCCAAGATGGCCCCAAACTTGCTATGTAGCTGAGATTCCCAATCCCCTGCTTCTCAAGAGTGTACCATTAGGTCCAGATTTACATAGTAGGCTCTAAATAAATATTTGTCTTCTACTTGAATGCATGAGCTGCACACACGCATGATGGGAGCTCATGTTAAACAGTCTTCACCCCTGGATCGCCTCGTCACAAGTGGTAGGAGGTTGCATTGGCTACCTTTCTGATTGCTGTCACAGAGCACCTAGAAAGAGCAACGTCAGGCAGGCAAGGTTTCCTTTGGCTCACAGTCAAACAGGACAGCCCATCAAGGCGGCGGAAGGCTCGGCGTCAAGCGTAGCTCTGGCTGTGGTGACAGGAATGTGAGGTGGCTGGTTCTACTGAGATCACAGTCAAGAGACAGAGCGATATGGATGCTGACCCTCAGCTTGTTTTCTCCTTTTTAGTCACCCTTTGACCCTAGACCCTGGGATAGTGCTGCCCGCACTAAAGGCGAATTTCTCCTCCGATAAACCTCTCTGGAAACACCCAGTGGTGTGTCTCCTCGGTGAGTCTAAATCCAGTCAGATTGACAACAGAGATGAGTGATTACAAGTATTTACTTCCTCTGGATATGTTCATGAATTGAATGCCACAGTATAGAAGCCAGCGTGGGACCCTACAACTGGGAGATGATACTGTCAATAATTCACTAAAAGTAGAGTAATTGAAAATCCTGGACAGCAAAGAAAGCAAATCCTTCTTTTTATAATAAAGACAATTTTTTTACCCATCCCATATAGTCAGGAAATTCTGCCAAAAATGTATTCTCTCTCCAAGAAAAATAACCTGACTACTCATCCAACTTGATGGAAACTATTCCAGCAGCCAATATCATTTTGCGGCAACAGTAAATGTATGTATTAATCTGAATATTAAGCAGTCATCACAAGTAATCTATAGACTACAATATATATGGAGAGAGAGAGAGAGAGAGAGAGAGAGAGAGAGAGAGAGAGAGAGAGAGAGGCTGCAGTTATAAAATGCCTATTAAAATAAAGACAGAATCGAAGGAATCTGGTAAGCTTTGATACCGGTTTAATTTTACATAGTTTATCAATTTCCAGTAGTATTTTAAAAAGTGTCATGGCGCTTGGTAAGCCAGCAGCTCTGAGTTCTTGTGTGAATGTGAAAAAAAAAAAAATCGCTGGTCTGCAGTCTTGAGGGATCAGCGGGAGAAGGCTGGGGGAGAGCTTTGCCGGCTGCACATTTCCTTTGTTTCTGTCAGCCCTATCAGATCGGAGCAGGGTTAGTCAGAAGCGAAACCTGACATTCTGACGGGGAATCTCGCAGACAGATTCTTGGCTGTGCGCTCCGCTCCACTTGAACTTCTGCTAAGCATGTGATGAAAGAGTGTTTTCAACTGCACCAGCTGTGGAGAGGTTAATAAAACAGAAGAGGAGAAACAAAAGAGTTCCCAGTAGAAAAAGCTGCTGGCTTTGCCCATTTTTCTAGTTACAAACAACATGTCAGGGAGCCGGAGCTGCTGTGTTGTTCCGGCCTCGAAATCGTTTTTAAACAAGTCAAGCTTCCAAAAGAAAAGTTGAAGGAGATTTAATAATCAAATGCCACATGTTGACCCCAGAAATGCAAAGTTCTCACTTTGCAACGGAATTACAAACCATGTATTTATTTCACAGCACCCCTTGATGGTTTTCCTGTGACTAGAAAAGCGCACTGGCTTTTGAATGGCCTGACCTGCAGACTTGGAGAAGGTCTGGCTATAGTGGAGACGTAGCCTGTGCTGTCTGCCCTCTTCCTGTGTCCCTTTGCTCTGGCAAAGCATCATGGAATGTGGCACCTTGCCCAGCCTGCTGCTACAGAGGTGATTGCTCAATCCTGTCTTATTCAGGGGTCAGCTGCTGACCCATGAGCCATCTAAACTGAAAGGAAGAATTAAACAACCCTTTTGGGACATGAATTGCAGAAGCTCTTCCCCAGGAGCTAGGGTACAGGATACAAAAGAGGAGGGCATACCATGACTAAATAATCTTCCCATTACCTTTATCAGTCTTCTGTTGCATACCCAAGTTCCAACACTCAACTTGTTATAATCATATCGGCTCTTACTGCTTTTTGTATCCTGAAAAGAAACACAGTAAAGGGCATTAACACTTTGTACAGGCTTCTGCCAGGAAATGTGTGTGCGTGTGTATGTGTGTGTGTGTGTGTGTGTGTGTGTGTGGTGTTTTTATATGAATGTGTTTGTATGGGTGTGTACACACATGCTTGTTGTGTGTGCACATCTATGTGTATGGAGGCCAGAGGTCAACATCAGATACCTTCCTCTAGGGCTTTCCAACTGTCTTTGCAAGACAGAGTCTCGCACTGAACCTGGAGGTCACTGTTGCAGCTAGCCTGGCTGGCCAATGCACTTCAGAGATCTGCCTGTGCTTGTCAAATGCTTGGGTCATCATAGGTGGGATCCAGGTCCAAGTCCTCACGCTTTTGTGGCAGACGTTTTACTGACTGAGCCATCTCCCCAGTCCTAAACCAACATTTTCAAGTCACCTCTACGACTTTCTGTTAAACTATTATTATATGTCATCTGGGTGATACAGCGTTTACCTTTCTTAAGTTAAATTGGGGAGGACGAAATTTGTGAGCATCTAAAATTCTCAAAGTCTAGAGAAACCTTAAAAAGTTATTTCTTATCCCAGATTCTAAAATTGATCTTTACCATATCATTCATCAATAATTTCTACTGCAATAGAATGGATTGTTTTGAGGACTGTTTCTGTATTGTTCAGGACTCCCAACAAATTTTGACATGGGTCTCCTTCACACTCAGCTCCTGGTTGTCTGCCCTCTGACGTCTTCCAGCTGCTTTAAACTCATGCCCTTCTCTTCAGTTGTGAAGTCTTCCCAGGTGCTTTCTGTGTGGCTCCCTGACCTTGTTGTGTCTAACAGCTGAGTGTCATGAACTTGCCCAGAAGCAAACACACACAGGTCTCCCACCAGAACACAACCTGATGAAAACAATTTAATGCACTTTTGTCTTCATCTATCACATTCCCAAGTTAGGAAATAGTTAACCACAACACTGAGGAATCTGTCCTTTTGAACTTCATTTTGCAATACAGTAATGACTACTGATTCATACAAAGGTGATCTATTGAGAAGTCTGCTTGGGAGGGCATGCTTTAGACAAAGTTTTAGGGGAGATAAAAAGAGTGGGTGGGCAAAAATAGAGATGTTTTGTTGATTGCAACACTGTATAAGAAACTATATTGTTGCCCCAATTACACTTAACACAACCACACAATTATCACATACTTATTTGCATACACAGATGACCACATACCTATTTGCATATAAGATAAAGGCAGATTTTACATCTCCCTTTCACTGGTACAGCTGCTTAGAAGGAGAAACCAATATCTTGTTGTTTTTTTCCATTGTCCCTATATTTTCCAAGAGAATTCAACTGTGTGGTCTTTATTATTTTTTATTTATGAGAAGTCATTGACAGTTGAAGAGAAAAGATTTTACAAAATGAGTTCAAGATGAGGCACTCTCAAAGACAACATTTAAATACCATTAACATCAAAGCAAAACTGTATTTGTAATATGATTAACTGATTTTTCTGAACGTTTGTTTTTAAACTTGAACATTTAAGTGTTCAAGAAACTCATTCTTAATTACATTTTAAATGTATTTGCGTGTGCGTGAGTGTGTGTACGTGTGTGTGTGTGTGTGTGTGTGTGTGTGTGTGTGTGTGTTCATGTATGTGTGTGTGCCAATGTAGAGGTCATTGGAAAGCTGGTAGGATTTAGTTCTCTTCTATCATTTGCATCTGTTTTCAGGCTTGGTAGCAAGTACCTGTACCCATTTTGCCAACTTAGTCGCCCCTGAATCTCAGGCTTTAAATCCTTAAAATAGGCCTAAGAGTAAATGAGTAAACATAAAAAAGGGAATTCACAAAGCTACACAGAGAAACCCTGTCTCGGAAAAAAAAAAAAAAGGGAATTCAGATTATAGCTAAAATCAAAATATCTGGAAAAGAATATGCAAATTAGTTTAGATATCTACCTCCTTAAGCAAAATACAATAACATTTTCTCAGTTTCATAACATGGGAAAACATAAATTCACTGCCATCTTTGTAAGCCCATTAAACAAGAACGACCAGTAAAAGTACCATCGAGAAGACGTCTGGACTTTCAGAGAACACTTTACGTTTGTATTTTCTTAAATATTTTGGACTGTGTAAGTTCAGCAGGCAGTCAGCACACAGGAATTTCAAATCATCTTCACGTTGGCTTGGAAGACATAGAAATAGCTTAAGTTTTGGCCACTGAAACTCTGAGGGTTTCCCAAAGGATAAGATGTGCTGGGCACGGAGCCTTGGATTGTGGAGGGGCAAGATTACAGGGCTTGGAAGGTATTATTCTACATTGCCCAACAAGGCATGTTATCAGATGTTAAGCCCTGGCTGCCTACCTGGGCAGCTCACCAAAAGGGAGCAGAGTGTGGGGTGGAAGAAATCATTATCTGAAGGCTGTTATTCAACACTTAGGACTCATGTGAGGGAGCTATAGTACAATGTTCCTTTTCCTCCAGCTACTGTCAAAGTGTCTGCTCCTTGTTTTTTGGGGAATTTGGGTGTGATTCATGCAATCTTTAAAGTGTTAAAATGCGTCTGAAATTCCAAAGGTGGGAACAAACAGCATTAGGTTTAGCAAGCAAGAAGGGAGTTCCTGTGATGTTCTTTTCAGTCTCTGAGCTGCACTGAGCCAGGGAGAGGCACAAGATGTCTGCACTGCCAGCTGGGACTTCCACTTCCACTGTGCCCTTTCCCAGGGACGCTTCTAGGAGATGAGCGATCAGACCATACAATGAGACAGGGCTGATGTCAGCTCGTTTGTGCTGAAGCTACCCAAAATAAAACAAGGACCCAGTGCAGCATTGGAGCGATTTGCTTGACTGGAAGTGTTTGCTCTCTTGCATCCCTTAGTCTTTTCTTTTTTTAAAATTATCTCAGAGGGAACGGGATGGCTGAGAAGAAAGTATAAGGACACATATGTGAAAAGCTATAATGAAACCAGTTTCATTGCATTCTAACCTAAAATTAATTAAAATTTGTCCGAGTTGCCACCCCCCCCCCCCCCCCCCAACATGTATATCATTTCTTACCAGGAACCTGATTCTCTCTCGAGGCTTGCTGCCCTCTACACCGCTTGGTCCTGGAAATCTAAGTGGGGTGACATGGGGATGGAAAAAGGACAGACACTGAAGAAATGACAGACACACATACAGAAAAGCTGGGATCAGGTGGGTTGTGTTTGTTCTGGTAGATGGCTCCACCTAGGAAATCCAGAACTTGGCCTGTTTATTATGCGTATAACAAGGGGGAGGGGCTAGCACATGTTGGTAGGAGGTCTTTGTAGGGGAGCTGTCTCAGGCCCTAAATGTGGGGTAGAGGGAGCTGTAGTGGGTGCTTGTCTTAGTGAAAAGTCAATCATTTCTCAGCACTTCTTGAACTAGAGGAAGGCTTTGCCATGTTTCTGAGTCTCCTCTGGGAAGGCTTTGCCATCCATGTCCATGGGTCTGAGGCACTGGGGGCCTGTGACATGGTCATGCCCTTGTCAGCAGCACATGTTCACTCAGGACTTCTTAGTCTCCTCACAGAGGCTCTCCAATTTAAAATTACACTACCCTAGGATGAAATATTGCAGATATCACAAGAAGTATATTTTGAAGGATATTCCTTTTGGGGGGCCTCATTTACATTTACAGTTAACTTTAAATGGTGAATTTAAAAAATCAATTCTATGATTTCTCAATCATATACTCCAAAACAACACTACGTTGGGGAAAATGTTTTCTGCTTTTCTGCAAAGTTCTGTAAGATTGCTTTTAATAAATTACATTTATTACATCAGGACCAAACACAGGCATCAAAGATTTGGCAGACCTATTTTTGTGGGTTATCTTCCAAGAGAAAATTTTTTCTCCCAGATGAATTATTTATTGAGTTATCAGCCCAGATTCTAAAATGCTATTATCTTAAAAAGATTTGCCCTGCCCTTTGGCTTGCTCCTCTGCCTCCTCTTTCATCCTTAAGACATTTCAGTATCTTCATCCTCATGTCCAACAGCATCATCATCACTCAGCCATTGTCTACCAGGGACCTGTGAGTGTTCTTTCAATTGTAACAGTACCTGTATTGTTCCAGAAAAGAAATAAGTCTCCAAAACCTGCACACCTAAGAGGCTAGAACTTGAACTTAGGTACCTCTCTGAAAATTCCCAATGACTTCCTATTCTACAGTGTGCAAACTTAACCAGAATTGAAGATATGTGCTGTGAACATGATGTGAGTACATCTATTAGCAGTCACCACATATGCAGTGCTTTAGCTTGTTTCTCAGAATTCAAAGACATGGGATGATACAGCACCATAAACTGTGGCTTGTGTTCTGTTCTTATAGCTTCCAACTCTCTGCCGGAGAGCACTTCAGACATGAGACATCATGGAAGACTCCAACTTCCTGAATTGGACAATGCATAATTTGCTTTAAACGGATACATCAATTGGAAATTCTGCTTCTCCGTTGAATTGCTGTTGATTACATGCCAGAGTCATATTCTTTATCCTAACCACACTCATCCCATTAAAAAAAAATCTCTCCTAGCCTAAAAAGCAAATTTTAGGTCATTCAAAGTAATAAAAGAACTTTAGTTAACTAGAAACTTAGAAAGGTAAATTTTAAACATGATTATACTTTTCTGGAATACATAAGATGCATCCAAGTTCTTGATGATAACATAATGCCCTTTTGGAATCTTAGTAACCATAACAGTGTCACGCTGGGGATTTTCAGAAACCATAAGAATAAATTAAGAACAAAAATAAAAGGTGAAATAAGGCCTAAAACTAAAAAGCAATTGTGTAGAGAAAGTGAAAGATAAACAAGAATGTTTAGGAAAATCAGATAGCAATGATCCGAAAGAGAGAGCTCTAGGGACAGAGAAAGATTTAAAAATAAATACTGATGGAAATAATCAGGGCACAGGGTTATAATTCTAAGTTTTCTAAATTGCACATCCTGTTTAAAATGTGTGTTTTGGAGTTTTACACAAGCCTGGTGCAGTGGGAAAGAACATGAATCTTGGGATCCAAGGCCCTGGTTTTGGGTCTGGCTCAGTCATTTGCTATCTGTATTTTCTTGGACAAGCTAATCAGGGTCCTGTTTTTATGATGTACAAACCAAAGACATTCTCTGAAATGCATTTTGAATCGCATTGACTTCATTATAGTAATAGGTAGACTTAGAATACCCCTGATATGATAATAGTTTCTTCCCACTAGTTCACATTTTAGACCCAATAGCTTTCAGAGAACCTTTTGTTTAAGGTTCTCTGAAAGCTATTGGACCTGCTTGGACTGAGTCTATCATGTCGATCCCAGTCCTCGGGGGAGACCTTGATCTGGAGGAGGTGGGAATGGGAGGTGGACTGGGGGGAAGGGGAGGGGGGCAGGAAGGGAGAGAACAAGGGAATCTGTGGCTATTATGTAGAACTGAATAGTATTGTAAAATAAAATAAAATAAAAGACAAAAAAAAAATAGCACATTTACCCTGCCACCACGACAAGAATATTTTTCTAACACTATGTCAACATGACTTTACGTTTTTGTTATTGTTATATTCAGTGCATTTCTTTCTTAGTGATCAGAAACTGAATATGCAAAAAGTTGGGCCCATTGTTTAAGGTCTATATTAAATCAGTGGACAACTCGATTCTACTGTAATTTGAGTCCTCTGTAGAACATAGCTTATATTACTTTCATTTTCCCTGTAAATGCCCCAAATGGTAAGCCATTTAATGTCTCATATATATCAATCCACAAAAGTATATATACAGTGCTCTCGTTAGAACAAATTTTAAAATGATCTAATACAATGCATATTAGAAAAAATAAGGTGTTATGTCCATATAAGTTTTAAGGAAGTATCATCTCCTTTTTCTTCTGGCCATAAAGAAATAGATAATTTTCACGTGTTGCAATGCATTTTTATGCAAATAAAATAATCACTGCCAGAAAAGCAGCTGGTTTCTCCTCTCTACAGGTTCATGGCACACACTTAAGTGCATGGCACACACATATGTGCACAATACACTCATACATGCATAACATGTGTATACCTGCATGCAAACAGTCACCTAGAGCAGGTACTGTTATTTGTCATATAGGACACGGCCTCTGTAGCCCTCACGGCTTCTTCATGCCCTCTTTGGGAGGCTAGAGTTAGACACTGCTTTGAAGGAAGGAAGCACAGAGGAGAAATAGTAATACTTTGAGCCGCTGTACTTTTTCTCACATTTCTGTTTGTTTTATCCGGGAGATTTGGGGAAGGTCAATTTTGGACTCAGAAATGCTGAATATTATTTTGTAATGTGAATAAAGCTATGTATTGATGTGATAGAATTGTTAGTGAAAGAAGTTTTTCTGGCCCTGTAAACACATTAAAAAGCAACCTAATTATTTTGGGAGTGGGGGATTTTGAACATCACCAAACTCAAATTAAGGGATTGGAACAATCTAAATTTTTTCTACTTTTTTGTTTGGTTATTTGGGCCATCTATCCATCCATCCATCCATCCGTCTGTCTGTCTGTCTATCTTGGTGCTGGAGACTGACCTAGGGGCCTGCACATACTAGAAGAGTGCTCTACCACTGAGCTGTTCCACTGCTGCCCTTCTGTGGACTGGTTAGTTTTCTATGACACTGATTTATCTATATTTTACATATGAAAAAAATAAATTCTAACTATGCAACTTCTGAATTCATCAAAGTAGATTCTTCACACACACACACACACACACACACACACACACACACACACACACACACACCCTCATGCCCAGGCATGATCCAATCATGTTAGAGAGTCATAAAAATAATAGAAAGTGGGAGCCACACAACTGACACATGTTGTGGAAGGAAGGATTCTCTCACATAGTATGGCTACATCTCTCGTGTCTCAGTGGAATTTGCCACTTTCAAATGGTCTGTAATCCCATTTTCTGTTCACCCCTAGAATCCGTGAATGGCCACACTTCCCACAGAGGCTTGAAGCTCAGTACTGACGAGTTGCCATCTTGTTCATCAGTTGCCCTGAAGTTACCACAGGGAATGGAAATGAATGGGGAACATGTTGGCCAAAGTCCCTCTTTGGGACAACCTCCTCCAGGGCCACCTTTGACATGGGGTCCCTGGACACTATAGCTTCTGCCTTGAATTACTACCTTTTCATGAGTTTACTTATTGATTATTTAAAAATGTTGTTATTAACTGACATCAGTTGATTTTAATCCCTGCCATATAACAATGGCTGAAGAACAGCAAAGGAGTTCTTCCAAGATAAGACACCCATCAATGAACAGCTTTAAGTAAATCTCATTGCACTGGGGCATTGTTTTGGTTTTGCAAACCTCTTTATAGCAAGAGGACAAGCTTTTGTTAGTCCTGCTTCTGTATAAATCTCCTTCAGCCCCAGTGATGAGTTCATTTCCTCTGCTCCCTGTAGCAATATTTTCATATAATAAAAATACTTTCTGGGTAACTGATTTTTACATTTTCTTTGTGAAAATGAAAGATATTGACTTGTTCATAACTCACTCGAGTTACTCAGTCCTGTGTTCTACACATCTCATCTCTAAATCTCTGCTTACAATTCTATTCATATGGGTACTCACTTGTTTTTATTTAAGCACAACCCATCTCTCTAGTCTAGAAGTCTAAAGTTTATTTGAAAATTTATAATCCTCTTATACTACAAACCTGTTTTTCTGAAAATAATAACCATTGCCTTTCTTCAGACCACAGATGAGCAGTTAGGTAACACAGAATAGAAGAGATAGTGTGGGTTCTGGAGTGATGGTTCAGTAGTTAAAGCGTACTGGCTTCTCTTCCAGAAGACCAGGGTTCAATTCCCAGCACCCACATGGTAGCTCCTAACTAACTGTAGCTCCAGTTCCAGAGGATCTGACATCCTCACACAGACATACATGCAGGCAAAACACCAAGGCACATAAAATAAAAAAATCAATAGGTCATAAAAAAGCGATAGTATGTTGATTCACAAAACTCTCATTTATTGAGAATTATTTCATGCACACTAGACACACGTGTTATAAAAACTATTCATCCACTTTGCAAATAAAGAATAAATACAGGCATATGGAGGCAGCCAGATAATAAAAATGTTGCCTCAGCTACCAGATAGCAAAACTATCTTTATTAGTTTTTCTGACTATATTAGGAACTCTCTTTGAAAATGCACAATACTGAACTATTTGTAAATTTCACCAAAGGGGCTTTTCTTCAGGTTGTTGCCAATCGATGGAACCAGAACCAGCAGGCAACACTATGTATTGTGTTGACATACCACAGTAAAAATACCATTCTTTTTCCTAAACCATAAATGAATGGCTCTTACAATGGTTATTTCTAACCACTGTTTTACTAGATGGAAATTATGTTCAGCTGAAAGAAAAGAAAAATACTTGGCTTCACTCTATTTACTTTATTTTCACTTATTAAAACAGTAGAAAAGGAAAATAAGGAGCTGATGTGAGCCCATATCTGGGAGAATGTCGAGGGCCTGAGGTAGCCAGACTCATCTCCCCAGCCTGTATCTCAGCTACCAGGCCTTGAGTCTGGCCTTCTGAGGGGCAAGTGAGTTACATGTTCCCCCATGCTACCCTCTTTATTTTTGACCGTGTTGGGCCTCAAACTCAGGGCCCTGTACATGCTGGACACAGGGTTTCCCATTGAGTTCCATCCCCAGCCCCATGATGCATCACTATTTTCATTTTCTAGCTTTTCTCTTTTACTTATAGTACTTCGTGATTTTTTTTCCTTTCAAAAGACTTTATAAGTTGTTGAGGTAGAGAAGGAAGTATGGCCACTAAACGAAGGTCTTCGAAATGTTTTAATGGTGGTGACCACAGACATTTATTACATACCTAATGCCAAGGTGCCTCACTGATATTCGGATTGACTTATCTCCTCTTTTGTTCCGTGAAAGAAGTCTTACTAAAATTTCAAACAAAGCAAAATTTAGAGGGTTAGCTAACAAACGGAGGAAAAGAGCTCTCTAAAATATTTCATGAGGTAGATAGAATACTTGAAACAAGGGGACACTCGATAGGATAAATGTAAAATATTAGATTCAAATGATCAGTTTGTGTTTCTATGTGTGTATGCACACATATTCAGTTATAGACGTGCACATGTGTACTTGCACATGTGGAGGCCAGAGGTCAGTGTTGGGTGTTTTCTTTTATTGCTTTCCATGTTATTTTTTTGAGATAAGGTCTTCCCACCAACCCTGGTGCTTACCAGTTTGGCTGGCCTGGCTGGCCATGGAGTTCCAGGAATCCTTTCATCTCCCCACACAGCTCTTATGCTTGTACAGCAAGCATTTTATCCTCTTATCTTTCACCATCCTAGCCCCTCGAATAATCGATTTCTTGCATAAAGAATAGATAATATCTGATTTGTTAGTGAATGTAAAACTCACTTTAGGTTTGAATTCAAGCTAATGTAACTCAAACATGTGGTCTGCTGCTAAGCACTCCAGTCTTATGCTCTATTAGTTGAAATACAGGGTCCACATCAAGGGAGTTCCTGGTCTAACCCCATTCACGGCCGGTCACATGGGAAGTGCTTCATCGAGTCCTGGGCACCACATTTTAAGAGGGAAGTTGACAGCGAACTGGAACATGTTCAAAGGGGGAATGGTGAAGGGTCTGGAAACCATACCATACAAGGAGTAGCTGGGGGAGTGTGTTCATTTTGCCAGAGAGAATGACAAGATGTGTTAACAATTTCAAAGGTTGTTCTGTAGTGGGTGGAGGGGCCGGGGGCGGGGCATAGACATCGCTACCTAGTTATAGAACTAAAAAGAGTGGGAGAGGTCGGTGCGTTTAGGCGCCCGGATGAAAATGCTTTTAGCAATTAAGTCCATCACGGGTAGGGAGTTTCAGTTATGGTGAGTTGCTGGCCACAGGGGAGCCATGGGCAGAGTCTGGGCGCCACCTGTGAGAGCAGGCGAGGGCAGGACTGGAAGTTCTCGGGAGGCTGAGCTAGCTCTGCTGTAAGGGGTGTAGGCAGATCTGGGGTAGACTGAAGAAAAGCAAGAAACAAGCGCTGGACAGGTGCTCCTTGACGACAGGGTGACAACAGTCATGTCACACAAGTGTGTGTATTCTGGGGTGCGGTTTGGGAACAGAACCACTCACTGTACAGGAAGAACACACTAAGTAGTACTGTTATCTTATCAGCATCTATTTTTCTTATGGCTTCTAAGCTCTTTTGTGGGTGTTGGTGTGTGTAGTGTCACCGTTCAATTTGTTGGTGGGCATCCTTTGAGCATGCGTTTATGATTAAAAAATGAGGTTTTCTCCTTTTTCTTTTTCCTTCACCCTCTCTTCCTTCCTCCCTCCCTCCCTCCCTGGTCTGTACTTCATGCTGTTTTTATTCCTTTCTCTCTCCATCTGTTTCCTTCCTCCTATATTTACTCTCTGGCCTATTTTTCAAACAAAGGGACACAATAGTGTGTGTGTGTGTGTGTGTGTGTGTGTGTGTGTGTGTGTGTGTTACTGTGTGCAAACACGCTGGGCTCAATGCAGAGCCTTGAACACGTGAAGCCTGAGCTCTGTCATTGAGCAACACCACCCGCACACGGTTATTTTGTACCCTTGAAACCTCGAAGTCTTTATTCTAGTCCAAGAATTAAAAAAAAAAAAAAAAAAGTTTTGACATTTGTATTTGCTGACTCCACAATTTGCAATCTCTCCCTCTTCCCCTCCCTTTCTCTCTCTCTGCTAAAGCATAAACTACGGTGAAGTTATTAGTGAGATTTCAAGACAACAACTTTTCCGGCTGTCACATGTTCCGGGCAGGCTCCGCCCACTTGCCCTGTGTGGTTGGGGCCTTTAACTACCGAGCAGGTCATTAACCCGCTGGCGAAGCAGCAGCACGTTGTTCTCTTATTTTCAAACCACAACCGCCTCTGTGGAATCCAAGACCCATAAAAGCACAGCGCTGATGCAGCCGAACAGAGAGAGGCGTAATTCATGGACTGCAGCATTTAAGAAGATTCCGGTGAAACCGTAAAGCTAATAAAACATGAATTGCTTTGGGGGATCACCGGTTCTTTATTTAATCAATTGACTCAACTGGTTTAAAACTATGATTATGAGTGCTACGGGTGTGTGTGTGTGTGTGTGTGTGTGTGTGTGTGTGTGTGAGAGAGAGAGAGAGAGAGAGAGAGAGAGAGAGAGGATAAATAAAACTAAATCTGATACCAGAAGTTTCTAGTTTATAATATTGGTATGGGACCCTCTCTCCAAAACAAGCAAAGCCAAGATAGAAAGAAAGAAAATTCTAGAACAAATTGTGTCTCCCTGCATCACTTCTCCTATTCCCTTTCCTCTCCTCCTTGCTTTCTCCCCCCCCCACCCCCACTTGCTTCCCCTCCCCTCCCCTCCCCTTTTTCTTTTGGAAATCGCCCCTCCCCCATGTAGATTATGCCCATGCTTTAAAAAAAAAATAGTTTAGGTAACTTACTAGAAGGTTTTGATTTCAGTCTGGATTTTTTTTTTAAGCCTCAAATGAAAGGTTCTCTTTAATCAGATAATTGGCCAGCCAGTAATTTTAGCCTCTCCGTGACACACCAGTTGGCAGGTACAGAGGTCCCAGCCAAAGCCTTTGTCCCCATCCCCCATCTGTGCCCCTGGGACCGTCTCTGAGCTTCATCAGCCACCCCCCTCGTAGCAGCTCTCCAGAGGTTGCGACATCCCAAGCCTTGTGAAGTTTGGGCAAGTAGAGCCCCGCTGCTGCCAGAGGGAACCATGTGGAAGGCACAGAAAGCGGGTGGTAAGGCTTCCTTACAGCCCGGGGAGGGAGAAATAGGGACTGGCGCTCCACAGCTCCGTGTCCCCCCCCCCCCCCCCCAGGTCACCAGCCTTTCGGATTAATGCTCAGTTTCATGAGATCTTGCCTCTGAGATTGTCTAGGAGGCTGGGGTGAGACGTTAGGGCAAGCGCACTAACTCCTGTGTTTCATCTCCCCTGTCCTAAGTCTCCCAGCCCTACCACGTCACACAGGCGGCGGGGGTGGGGGGGGGGGGGGGGGAACCGATCCATTAACCCGATTGTCTGCTGGCTTTCTCTTCCTGCTGCTCTCGACTCATCACGTTCGCTGGCAGCCATGAATGAAATGGAACGTGCTCAATGACTGACATCCATTAGAGTCAGTCCTTCGACAAACCCTGGGCTGCGTTTTGAAAAGGCCTCTGGAAGAGAAAGGACTGTGTGCTCTTTGAATGTGGGCCCGCTGAACCGCTGCCAAGGGCGGACCGCTCCATTCAAAGGGCCGAGAGAGAATAAATGAGAATAACATCCTTGGGGACCCGCAGGATCAGCTTACTCCGAAAATGCTCAGCTTCACAAAGGGTCAGAGTCACAAGGTAAATGAAAATGGCCAGGAGGGGACTTTGATGGCCGAAACACTGTAACAGTAGAGGACTTGAAAGAAAACTTTATTTAAAAAAAAAAAAAAATTAAAAAGAAGCAGTTAAAAGGAGGAGGGGTAGTGTATGGGGGAACCTCAGAAGGGCAAAGCCTGTTGATAACAACAACAAAAGGTTTCTGCAGAGACACCCGTGAGTGTTCATTGGTTACACACACAGCCTGTAAATAGATGCATATGCTTATGTAAATGTGTATCTACGTTTGTAAACACCACACCTCACCTTTATTTTATTCACTATTAATAAAAACCGGGTGAAATTTGTGAGCTCAGTTTCTTGGTGAATTATCTACACAAGTACTGCAATGCCTGTCCAAGTCACCAATCATGAAATCTGGAGACTGCCATATGTGAAGATTCTCACGCACTGTATCTAACTTGAAAGGCTGCCTATTGACAACTTTAATGGAAGTGCTTCAGAAGCAATGTCTAAGAAAGGGAATCAGAAAGCTCACAAAGCTCCTGATGCATTTCCAGAGAGACCCTGGTGGTCACCCGCCACAGGGTCCTGCCTCTGGAGACCCTCAGCCCCCTGCCCCCAGGCTCTTAGATGGCTTTTAGACCTGTATAGGCTATGGTAGCTTCAAGATATAATTCAGGATTAGGTTTATCTGAGTGGTTTACCTCAGGCAGGGGATCCCCCCCCCATTAGGATAGCCTCAGATGGGGGATTCCCTACCCCCTCAACTTACTCAAACAAAAACTTCAGACTCCTTCATTGTTTTCCAAATGAAAAGAAAACTTAAGGTAACAAGTGATAATTCTGTTGCTGAAGTAGGGAAGGAGACTTGTGGCAGTCAGCCTTACCTCTGTGGATCTGTTTTCTAGAATTGATGTCAGCAGGTGCAGCCATGCTGGACAGACAACAGGTTGGATGTTCCCACCCACATCTGAAGACATACCCACTCAGCTCTGGGAAGATGAGTTAAATTGGAAAAGAGTCTTTACAGGTGTGATTAATCTAAAAATCTGAGAGGAGTACCTCAAGGTCAAGGGTGGACTCTTACATTGATAAGAGGCGAAGGGAGACGGAGAAGGAAGAGGAGGATAGAAATACGAAGACTGAAGAGTGTGTCTGCAAGACAAGGACTATGAAGTGTTACTAGCAGTTGCAAGAAGCTAAGTGAGATGTACGAGGCAGATTCTGCCTCAGAGAAACATTGAGGACACCTTGATATTGAACCTCTGGCTTCCAGAACTGTCCTAGAATAGAATAAGCTTGGCTGGTTTAAGTCATCAGATTCATTGTGGTATGCATAGGCAGCCTCAGGAAAGTAATACACTGGTGGCCACAGCTGTGTGCTGTTTTGACCACAGGGTCATCCAGCTTGGACTTAGTGGTCCCCAATCAGGTAGCAATCAGGTAGTTTTGAGGCAGCTGCTAGAGTTACTGGGTGGCACTGGCCAAGAAAACTCACCCTGCTGAAGATCTCCCCTGTTGGAGGTTTGCTGGGAGAATGGCTACTTTGGATTCAGTAACCTACCATGCATAGCTCCTTGGCACAGCACCATTTAGCTGATTTATTTTTAATTTAAAAAAAAAAATTTTTTTTTTTTGGCTTTTCGAGACAGGGTTTCTCTGTGTAGCTTTGTGCCTTTCCTGGAACTCACTTGGTAGTCCAGGCT